GGAAGGCTGAGGCGGAAGGATCGCCGGAGCCCAGCAGGTCAAGGCAGCGGTGGCCGGGAGCGACTACTGCGCTCCAGTCTGGGCGACCGAGTGAGACTCCAACTCAAAAAATAAAAATAAAAGATGGGAACTGTCTTCGCCATGGTTAGAGGAAGACACTGAGGTTCAGAGAGCTGCCCAAGGTCACAGTTAAAAGAGTAGGAGCAGGATGGGAACCCATGTCCATCTGACTTTAAGGCCTGGGATATGGTGTCAAGGTGATCACGTCTGTCCTCCCAATGAGATGACCGTGCTGGAGACATCTCCACAGCTGTGGCACTGGGTTGGGTATGCAGTCAGTGCCCAATGAAAGTGGAGGATGGAAGGGTGGATGTTTGGAAGTACAGATAAAGGATGGAGAGGTGGAGAGACAATTGTTAGTTAGATGGACAGATGGCTGGAGGGTCATATGGGTGGATGGAAGGAAGGAAAGAAGCAAAGATGGTGAAGAGATGGATGAAAAAATGTTACTGGATGGTTGGATGTCACGATGGATGGATGATGATGGCTGGATGGATGTCAAGATGGATATGGATGATGGACGGATGGATGTCAAGATGGACGGATGTCAGGATGGATGGATAGTTGGATGTATGTCAAGACAAATGGATGGATAGATGTCAAGATGGTTGGATGGATGTCAGGATGGATGGATGAATGATGGCTGGATGGATGTCAGGATAGATGGATAGATGGATGGATGTCATGATGGATGGATGGATGTAGGATGGATGGAGGAGTGATGGATGTCAAGATGGATAGATGGATGGATGATGGCTGGATGGATGTCAAGACAGACAGATAGATGGATAAATGGATGGATGTCATGACGGATGGATGGATGGATGGATGATGACTGGATGGATGTCAAGATAGATGGGTGGATGGATGATGGATGTCATGATGGATGGATGACGGATGGATGGATGGATGGATGGATGGATGGATGATGGCTGGATGGATGTCAAGATGGATGGATGGTGGATGGATAGAGGACAGATGGATATCAAGATGGAGGGATGTCAGGATGGATGGGTGGATAGTTAGATGCATGTTAAGATGGATGAATGGGTGTCAAGATGGATGGATGGATGGATGATGGATGGATGGATGACAAGATGGATAGGTGGATGGATAGTTGGATGTATGTCAAGATGATGGATGGATGGCAAATTAGTTGGATGGATAAATAAACAGAAGGAAGGAAGAAGGCAGACAGGCAGCAGATACATCGACGGATAGAAGGATGGATCCGTTGGAAAGTCATTGCTGTATGGAGGATGGACGTAGGGAAGGGAGGGAGAAAGGACAAGCAGGTCATTGGGGGTCTGGCTTGGCTCACCCCAGCCCAGCGATTCCTGCCAGAACAGACATGAGACACAGGCAGCCCACTGCACCAAAACTCTCCCCACATGGCCCCGTCTTCAGTTCCCTGGGCTGAACACCCATGGGGCTCTGGGTCGGCCACCACCCTGGCCTCCCAGGTTACTCACAGCCTTCCAGGCAGTACTCCACCAGGTACCCATCGATGCCGCCTGCCCCGATCCTGTTGGGAGGCCTCCACTTGAGAGTGGTGGTGGTGTTCGACACATCCTCCACCATCAGGTGCACTGGCTCACTGGTGGGTGCTGGAACGATCCAGAGAAGGAAGATATGGGGCAAGATCAGAGGTCAGCAGGATGGGGCGGGGGTCACAGGGGAATCACTGATCAGAAAAGTGATCAATATGGTGGACACTTCCAGTGAGCAAGGAAGTGTCAGCAAGGGACACTAAATCAACAAAACAGCAAGGAAGAACAGTGAGATCTCCAAGGTCAGAGACAGGCACTAGCCTGGTAGGTCAGAGGTCGATGAGGTATTTGGTCATCGGCTCAGTCAAGGGTCCTAGACATCAGAGGTGAACGCAGTGGGTCAGGAGAGACCGGGAGCATGGATGGGGTCAGGGTCAGTGGGCCAGGTCAATGGATGAGAGGGGTCAGAAGCCAGCTGGGGCTGGGCATGGTGGCTCACGCCAGTAATCTCAGCGTTTTGGGAGGCCGGGGGGAGGATCGCTTGAGCTCAGGAGTTCAAGACCAGTCTAGGCAACATAGTGAGACCCAGTCTCTACAAAAACTTTTAAAAAAATTAGCCGGGTGTGATGGCACAGGCCTTGAGTCAGAAAACAAAAAGAAGTCAGCTGGGTCTGTGGGGTCAGAGGCCAGGGTGTAGGGTCAGAGGTGAGTGATTGCCAGAGAATGGGTCAGAGGCAGATGGAGGAGGATGAGTCTGGGGGGGTCGTGGGGGGCATTACCAATAGGCATAAAGGGCTTGGTGTTCATGCTGGGCTGAGAGACCCCGATGGCGTTGACAGCAAAGACCCGCATCTCATAGAGGACGCCCTCCATCATCTTGGTGGACTCGTAGGTCAACTCCGTGAAGACCTCAAAGTTCAGCTTCATCCAGCGCTGAGACCCCTTTTTCTTCCGTTCCAGGAGGTATCCTGGGGGCTCCCCAAGCAGAGAGGAGCAGGTGGTCATGGGGGTGGGAGGGGCAGGGGCACAGGTAAGCTGAGGAGGGTCAAATCCAGATGATCACATGACCCAGAGAGGGCTGGGGCCACAGATCACAGGCTGATCTCAGGGGCCACAGAGCACTCAGAGGCTATCAGTCCTGGGGTCAGGAATCAACAGTGGCCACAGGCTGCTAGGTGTGGTGGCTCATAGTGGAGGTGAGAGGATTCCCTGAGCTCGGGGGTTCGAGACCAGCCCGGGCAACTTGACAAGACCTCATCTCTACAATAAATCAAAATATTAGCCGGGTGTGGCGGCGAGTGTCTGTGGTTCCAGCTACTTGGAAAACTGAGGCAGAAGGATCGCCTGAGCCCAGGAAGT